TATTGGCAACTTTTCCAACCCAAACTGGAAACAAAAGTCAGAAAAACTCACTTCTCTTATCTCTCCCTTGATATCACCTGGTGCGATGTATCTCAGGAATTGTAGGACTTCTCTTGGAAAAGCATATTCGCTATTATCAGGACCAACTCCATTTTTCTAGAATCAAGCAAAAATTTTGTTGCGTGAAGACCATGCACGCTTGGTAACTAAAGATTCAACTATGAAATCTTCTTTAATACTTACGATCAGTGCGTGTGCCCATCCACAATAGAAGAAATATCGTACCATTCTGGGAGGTTTACCCCGCTTCTTGAGTCGATCTTCGACGCCAATTTCAAGTTGACTGATGAAATGTGTTCCGTCATAACTAGTAAAAAATATGTTGCTGTATTAAATGCTGTGTATGTAAACGAACTCGGAACTGCTAAAAATATTATGTTCAAATCGAACAAGAAAAGAACAAAGCGAAACAACATACCCTTCATCTCTCATCGTTGAGAGCAATATTTGTTTGTAGTCCACATCACGATCTGCTTCAGTAAAACTATCTACTTTTGAAGGGCATTTCTTCCTTGTCTTTCGTCGCTTTTTCGTCGCGGGTTTATCTTTATTTATGGACACAGGCTCAGCCTTGCGTTTTCGCTTTGGAGGCATGACTAGTAGTTTTATAGTGACTTCTGTGACTTGCTTGACAAAAGTTTTACAGTATAATTTATACGGAAGTTTACATAAAATACATCGCTTGCCATAATTTATACGGAACATCACTTGCCACACGCGTTGTAATTGGTTAACAACAATTGAATTAATTAGTGGGGAAAAATAGACAGAACTTCAAAAAACCCCGCGAAATGTTTAAAGTCAATTATCAGATACATTAATTTTGAGTCGTAAACACGCACTAAAAAAGCTTGGTTAGTCGTGCGTTTTAACCGATCGTTCTGAAATTTGCACACACTGTAGGTGTATGTCTTGGCTACAAAAGGGTGTTCGCGCGAGTTTTACAAGCCTTTAGTTGCAAAATTACAGACCTTTTTCGTGCATTCGTTGCAATATAACACAGGTCGGGAAAGAACATGTCTTAGCTATGTAACCCCTGAAGCAACGATAAAATGCGAACACCCTTTTTTAGTGCAATACTCGAGAAGAGTAAAAATGATAGATTGACAGGATTTTAGTGAAACCTACATCTAACGTAGCTCGCCGCGCGAAGGTCCCATAAACTTAAACTTGTAACAATATTCGGGAAAGTTATTTCTTTCTGATATATTTTATAACCCTATGTTTTTTTTCATCTATCGGACTATATTTGGAGAAAATTTGAGAGAAATTGGATAAAAATTCGCCGAGTAATGGTAAATCTCCCGAAACCTGCGCGTAGGGTCTCCTGTAACCTTAATAATGACAAAGTGATTGATATAATAGCTGGAAATGTTAGTTCTTCCACCTTGTTTTGCCTTAAATTTCATGCAATATATAGCTTAATTTATAGGCTATCAATGTTTTTTTTACAGTTGACAAATTATATTGTTAATAGTAATACTGCAACTTTGCTTTGTACTGGGGAAAAATTATGTTTTGTAATGACCTTGTTTTGTAGTGCTGGTGAATGCACTGTTACAGACAATAAATTCTGCACCATTTCATGAGAGCCAACTATATTTAATAGACATATTGATTTTATATCAATTTCATCAAAGGCTCTTAATTTATGTAAAAATATTGTATTTTATATTAAATGTATTTAATAATGACATATTGTATTTTAATACTATTTAATAATGACAAAGTGATTGATATAATAGCTGGAAATGTTAGTTCTTCCACCTTGTTTTGCCTTAAATTTCATGCAATATATAGCGGCTTAATTTATAGGCTATCAATGTTTTTTTTACAGTTGACAAATTATATTGTTAATAGTAATACTGCAACTTTGCTTTGTACTGGGGGAAAATTATGTTTTGTAATGACCTTGTTTTGTAGTGCTGGTGAATGCACTGTTACAGACAATAAATTCTGCACCATTTCATGAGAGCCAAAAAATTCAACATTTTCAACATTTCAAGTTGAACATACAAAACAATAATTTTACTGTTTGAAAGATTATAGCCCCCTGTTAGGAACCTGATATTCCTTGTCGGGAAACCTGATATTCCTTGTCCGGGAATTCCTGGAGCATCCGGCCTCCACACACAAGCACACTGGTACCCACACACCTCCATTTCCTACACCACTGCAATATTAAAGCACAGCATGGATGCACCATAAAGCTGTTATTTACTTTTTACAGTATCTTTATTAACACACAAAATTTTCATAGAGGAAATTGTAAGAATAAATCATTATTTATATCAATGACACAAAATTGTTTATTTATTTTGTTCATGTAATTTATTTATTTCTCTGAGTTGATGAAATTTCTTTCTTTCTCTGAGTTGATGCAACTTCTTTCTCTGAGTTGATGAAAAAACAAACTTCCCGACATACCAATCCTTTCATAGCAAGGCCTGAAATTCTTCCTAAAGTAGTAGTACAATGTTTATAAATTAAAACAATCTTTAGCCAAAAGTTTAGGCCAATCATAATTTAATAGCAACATGGATAATTTTATGATTGAAAATGGCTGGCAAGAAAATACATATTTCAAGTCATATATATGTTTTAAACTGAATATGATACTAGCTTGTAGTATGCAGTCACACGATACCTTACAGGTAGTTGTATATCCTACAAACAATCATTATCTGGGGATACCAAGATTAAGGTGGGGGGAGGGGCAAGGGTGGGTGGGTGGGATGCACATAATATTTCGGGTTTTTATGCTCATTGTCTCAGTCTAAATGCCGCATTTTACATGTGCCAAATCTAATGTGAATTTACATGGTTTGACTCAAATAATAAAGTTTGACATTTTGATTTAAAAATGTTATTTGTTCAAAGTGGCGAAGTAATTACTTTGCAATTATACCCACTCTCCCCTTGATGAGCAAAATTGTCTGACATTAGACAGTAAGATAGTAAAGTACAATAGATAATCTGATTAACCCATTGAGCAGTAGCACTCTCACATTGACCAGTACACTCAAGGTTGAACAAACTTTTCTAGACTTGGCACATGTCAAATGCAGCGTTTAGACCAGACGTATTAAACAGAATATATGTTGTCTGTATGTGTACAGTCTTGCAGATAACCATTAATATAGTAAAGAAAGAATATTGAGAAACAACCAAATATATCAGTATCACTCACTCACCATTCACTAATAAGATTGGGCTTCGTCCACAACAATCGCTTTTGAATTGTCTGTATATTTCGTCGATTATAATAAAAATTCAAAAACTTTCATGTTCTCCAATTGATTGCTGTCCGTATACAATGACTCTCCCAAACTACACATTGTATCCTTCGATTCATCAACTTGAACAGCTTTCATAATTGAAACATTTACATGATCCTTTAGTTTGCTGATTTGGTCAATCATTAAAACATTTAATGGTGAAATAACCAGATCAAATTAATGTTTATCTTGCATGTAAACCATTATTTCTTTCGAGAAATTCTTAAAGTTCACTCCTTGCAAAAAAGATGCAGAGTCAGCATTTTTATCAAGTTTACTTCCGGCAAACTAGAAGATTTTTGAAGTTTTGGTTTTCGCCAGGGCCTCCGGCAACGCAGTGTCAGCCGTGAGGCCCTGGGACCGAGGATTAGGCCGTACGAGCATGCGAATTCGATTAGCTCCCAGGCCGTAAGAGCGTTAAAAATGGCGTTAAATCCCCGGCTGTGATGCCCCGGCTATTTAAGTCAGTGTTAAACCCCGGGTAGCAAACAAGCGACGTTTGTTAAAAGCCTGTATTTCCCCCGCAAATTCCCGTTAAAACCCGGTATATCCCCGGGGGTGGGGGGGGACTTCGATTGACTAGTGCATAATCACCAAAGAGTATAACGTAGCTTGCTTATAGTTTTATGTTGATCACATGTAGCACGCTTGTTTGTCTTTTTATTTTGAATTTTATATTTTGAATCGGTTTTTCGGTTAGTCGGTTATCTGATATTTAGAAGACTCGTGAAACCGATCTGTAAAAATAACCGATTCATCTTGGTTAACCGAATAACCGCATCACCCTAGTTCACGCCCAATTTTTGAACTTGGAAACGTAATTGGCAAGTTTGCAATGAACTTGGGAACCGCGCGTTGAAAAGTGACTTGAAATCGACAATGAACATTGTCAATTTTAAAGAATAACGTACATACTGTATTTCAGAACTGAAGTGAAACGAATCAGTGACTGAAATAACTACAGTCTGCTGCTAAAGTAATAGCTACCTGAGAGGGATTGATAAGAAATAATAATTTCAAAGAATTATCGTTGGTTACAAGTAATGGCAACATTGAATTTGTCTTATCATAGAAAAAGTTGTAAATAAATATAATCTCAAGGGTCGTGAGCACTTTGAACTTTATTCACTGAATCGTGAATTAATACAGCCGGATATTAAAGCTCTACTGCATACCTAAAATATCTTGAATAGATTGTTTGAGAAGAGATCCACTCTGCTTCCAAGGCGGGACTTTTTGCCATCTGGAGGGGGAGGGTAGAAAAATTTGTTTCTGGTAATACATGGTAAGACAAGTGTATTAATAGGACATCTGAAGGTGGTTAACATCCCTCTGTGGGAGATATATGGATCTTTCTGGAATGACCCAATATGACATGTGGTAAATTGAATATAGATGCAACCCCCTAAACCTGGGTTCATTCTAGATACTAACTGTGTCTGTATGTTGAAGATATGCAAATATTAACTATGGATAGTATAAAATTTGCTAAATCCATGCCAAAGGTCTTCAGCATATTGCACTTAATTAATCCATTGAGTGGCGGCAACTCTCCAATTGACGAGTAAAATTGTCTGGCGTTAGACAGAGTAAAATACCGTACTAAAGTAGGGTGCATTACCACTTAAAGGGTTAAATTCACCCTGGCCGATAAATTGATGATGTGTTAAGGGGGTTTACTTGTTTGTCAGTGCACAGCCCCCGGTCATGGTGATTGCTCAGTTCCCTTTGTTGCCAGTAAAACACAATTTCTGTCCAGTAAACTGCAACTTTCAAGAAGTCCTCCCTAAGTCAAAATGCAACCACAAAAAGCATGTTCATGAAATCATATTCTGGTACTTGGTTTTCAGAAAGTAAATCATTTTGGCTGTCAGGAATATAGCATTGAGATTTTAAAATGAAGGAAACCCTCACAAACTGACATAATACTTAATGGGATACCAAAAATGTGGTTTTGGATACCAAACTGTGAATGACTTGTATCCTGACTGGATACTAATAAAATTTCAAATATTAAGAAAACGTTAACCTTCGACAGGGTCCTGATATTGAATATTAGCTTTTGAATATTATCAGTATGCCACCTGTCTTTCATCTTTGAGGACGAGCATATATAGAAGTTTTTTGAAGGATTATGTGCCTTTTTGTGTATTCTATTTGATAAATTGTTTTGTTGTTGACTGTTGACTGTTGACTGTTGAGTCTCCTGTTATTGTAATTTGTAACAGTGAGAGTTATGGAAACTTATTTGGATGGGACACAGGCTTTTAGCCAGGGTCCTAAAAGAAGGGCGTCCAATTTTGGTATGATACATCTACAGTAAAGGGAGGGGAGGAGGTTTCGAGAAAACATTCCTCCGGAAAACCTTTGAAGTTTATGTTACTTCATGTCAGTATCTGTTCCAAACTCATTCAAAATTTTTCAAACACACTTGGCTTTGTGAGTTTGTGCCGCTATATGCTTCTTTACTTAACAATGACATTTTCATTCAGCCAGGTACACCATCAAATTGATCAAACTGTCTAATGTATAATAATAATGAGAATTGAAGCTATTTCATTTCAGATATATTAATATACTTACGGAAATAATTGATAACAATTTCCCTTTCCCCTCAGAATTTGGGCATCCAAAGGCGTCCATTTTTCGTTCTAGGGGCGTCCCAGGACGCCTGGACGCCCTTCTGGCTAAAAGCCTGATGGGACAGGGTATAATACTTATGGTACCAGTATCCAGTTCAAGTGGGACACTGGATTCTCGGGGGATGGGGGGATACTAAACTTTCAATGCTGGTATCCCGGTTGGATACTGAGAAAAAATATAAATTTCAGACCCTGCTTAATCGATCCACAACATCAATCTGAGTCGTTCTCAGAGCTAAAATGTGACTGGTCAACATGGGGCTTGTACAGTATGTAGAGTCCAACTACAGTACCCTTGATGTTTCAGGCACTAGAAATTAGTGGGTTACGTCACCTGTGCTCTGAATTCCTGAATTTCAGGAGTTATCCATTCCTGATAATGTGTTACAACAAATTAATTCTATTCTCACTGCAATTTTAAATCGAAATTAAAAAAAAAATGCCCACATCCCACTCCATGCCTAGCAAGCCCAAGGAGTACACTCATGGCACCCCCACCATTTTTTTATGGGACGGCCTCTGATATTTCAAATGAGTTTTGTCCTTGTCTGGAAGTTAGTAGGCAAGCATGGGTTGGGAAAACACCAATTAATACAAATAACAACTGGCATGTAAATGTTTAACACATATACAGGTAATGTACCGCACAAAGGGCAAGATATTTGGTTTTTTTTTGTAGGCTGGATCGATATACCGGATATATCCGATGTACCGGTACTTGTTTAGATACCGGTTTGGCGATATTGACAATTTAAAAATACCGATATACCGACATTTCGGTATTTTGCTGCCTAATACCGAAATGAAACGCTATTTCAAGTCAAACTTGCTTACAATCACGTTTAGAAAGCAAAGTTAATACTCACAGATGCATGATTTTGTTCTTACAGTTCTATCAACTTTGGTTTAGCATAACTAGCAATACCAGACGTCTTGTTTATTAAATCGCCTTAATCGGAAATATAAAAAGGGCGAAATTTTTAAAGGAAAATTTTGACAAAAAAGAAAACTTTGGCGAAAACCCCCTCTGGCCTTTCAAGTTTTTTTTTATCGGGCAGTATAAGAGGGTAACTTTTTGTTGTTTTTAATCTTATTTAACTGACATGCTAACTTGTTTATGTGTTAGTTTTAAAAATGCAACGTTTTTTATGTTTATAACTATTAGCAGCTTACTGAAACACTATCTGAATTTATATACAAAACGAATATTTTTCTGAATGATTCAACACTTCGACGCCCAATCGACAGCCTACTAATAATTGCCGCTTAGCGCTGTTAATTGTTAACATAGCTTGATAATGCGAATCTTGTGACATTTGCACCAATAACAGTATGTGCCACATTAATATTTTGTCAAAACTTGATTTTTCTTGACGGTCAGCACTTCAGTTTGGCTTAAAAAAAACAAACGTTAAAAATACCGGAATACCGGTATTCTGATGGCGGTATTCCGTATTTGCGATATCGATCCAGCCTAGTTTTTTGGGCAAAGTACAGAAATTTGGTATTAAAAATTGAGTTAAAGTCAATGGAAAGCATTTACAATGTACTTGTCTGGAAAAATTTTTTCCCTAAAAAGTTGTTGACCGGAGGGGGAGTTTTTTGTCCGAAAAAAATTTTCCAGAAAAAAAATTTGAAATAAGGGCCCCTAAAAAAAATTTGTCCCAGGCTCCGCCAAGCTCTCGGCTGCCCTGGGCTCATCTTTGTACAAAGAGAAACTGGTAGTAAGTTACACAACTAACAATCACTCTAATTTCTCTTTTTTATGCTTGATGAATCATTCAGGAATTCATGAGGTACAGTGATAAAAATATGTAAAAATTTCTATGTCCGTCAGCTGGCCATCTTTGTGGACTGTTCTGAAAGGGGAGGGTGGGGTTCCAGGGAGTTTACATGTAGGTTGCAAACATTTGTTCCCGAGCCAATGCCCGAATTTTTCCAACTCAACATGTTTACCTGATTTTGTGACGCCTGCAAGGTGTCACCCTGGTTGGCGCAGAGCCAAATGTTTTGAAAATTTGAAGTCTCCAGACCATCGGAAATGGCATTTTTAGAGTCTTTCGTACCCAATATTTCAATATTTTGGTAAATTGCCTGACAATGAAGATAATGCTACTGTACTTAGAGTTTAATGTGACTAGGAAAATATTTTAAATTTGGAGTCTCCAGATTGTCAGAAAGATTATTTGGCACTTGTCCACCTGCCACCACACGTCTCAACGTCCTTAGTTTGTTCGATAACTTCGATTGTTAACTCTGATTCAGACTACAGAGTTAACTTTTTATGCCCTGAGAATCAACTGAATTTACCCGAAAATCTACTGGAAATCTACCTGAAATTGAGCACTCATGAACTACGGCCCTGAGTTTATGAGTTACAAAGTTAAAAAAGAAGGACATCGCTTCTCAATAAGAATTGTCTTTTCGTCTTAAAATAGTTCAAGTCACTAATTGATTTCAGCTCTGTATCTAGAGTGCAGACACACGGTGGAGTATCCACCATTTAGGTTGGTCAGCACTAAAAAATATTTTCCCTCGGCCTCAAAAAGTAGCCTCAGGCCTCTTCTGAGATTTTGTGAGAATGTTTTCAGTGCAGACTTCCTAGCTGGTAAATAACGGCCATATAACCCATTGAGTTGCATTTCACTTTATTATTTAACTCTGTTTAACGCCAGATTATTTTACTCTGTCTAACGCCAGACAATTTTATTCATCAAGGGAAGAGCACTGGCGCTTCCCTTGACGAGTAAAATGTGTTAACTGGCCTATCTGCCCAATGTGTCTAGTTAGTTAATTAACCTATTGAGTTGCATTGCACCCTGGGTTATCCCACTAAATGACAGCACTGTCACCTTGATAGTTAAAATCGTCTGGCATTAGACAGTTAAATAATAAAGCGTAAAAAATACCTGTGGTTCCGGTTCCTGACCGACCCTATTATTTTTTCAACGCGATTGACTGTGCGACCCTATTTTCTCCAGGTGGTTGCGGGCCGTTCATGTAGTAGAGGTGAGCCGATCATTGACAAAACCGATTAATCGGCTTGTTTTTTTTGTCATTGGTCATCGGCCGATTGTCTTCCACCATCTGTATAGTCAGCGGTGTAATAAAAAAATGAAATTCAAATATTTGGTGTGGAAACAATTATCGAAACGAAAGTGGAAACACTATGTTTACCGATTTCCCGCGTTCTTTCATAGTTGTTTTCTCACTTTTCTGGCATTTCTGCAAGATTTTTTAATTAAATTATCGTGTTCCGTAACTTCCGTTGAACAGTCAGTCGCAACCTGTGGATTTCAAAATCAGTGATAAAAATGTCGCTTCCTGTTTCTGCATGTTTTGAGTCTTTTGATGAGAGGATACATTAGTAAAAAAAATTAAGATGACCATCGGTTTTGCTGATTAATTGGCCGATGGTGGGTAAATATCGGCTGTCAACAATCGGTATCGGTAATCGGCTTTTTTTAGACATCGGCTCACCTCTATCATATAGCGTGCCAAAATGGCGTCTGTTGCCACACTAATTATTGAACCAAATTGCCTAAATTCGTCCATAGGAAATACGCATATCTAGTTAATATTGATGTCGGGATTCTACTGCAAATCGCCCAACAAAAACCGCCAAAACCATGACAAAAATATTCAAAAAATTTATTTCCGACCTACCGACCCTAATTTTTTCAAGATATGAAACCGGAACCACTGGTGTTTTTTTTACGCCTAAAGTAGGTTGTATCAGGGTGCATTGCCACTGAAACGGTTCAAAAATGAAAACCCGGTGATCACATTCCCATGTATTTGTAGGAAATGCTAAAAGATGAAGTGCGAACACTTACATACAGAAATGCAATGTATCACAACAAGCATCTATTCCGAGGCAAAGTTGTTCTTGATGTTGGATGTGGAACTGGAATACTCTCAATGTTTGCTGTCAAAGCTGGTGCTAAACATGTTTATGGGGTAAGTCACTTTCACGTTCCGAAATTTTAAATTTACGTAATCAATTTCGAGTAAAGATTTACTCACGTGTATTTTGAGTCGCAGTGGGTACTGTACATTGAGTCACAATTTTCTGGGTTTTTTTTTCAGTTCAGACTTATTATGTGAACAGCGACATTTCATGAGCGAAATGAAATCAGAGTATGTCCATTATAACCTTGATTATGTGTTTTACTGTAGGTTGACTTCTCGTCAATTATTGAACATGCCCAAACCATCATTGAATCCAACCATTTGGATAAGTGTAAGTATATCATCATTACACCTTTCTCTGAGAACAGAATAAATAGATAATTAAACTGAACGTGAAACCGGTGTTCAAAATAACACACCGTCTATACCAATTGCTATAGTTTGGTTAATAACCAGCATCTGGTTGCATTTAATCTCGTCTGTCTGTGTTTAAATAGCCAGACGATGTTAGATGGATAAATAACCTACTTTATATTTTCTCACCTAACAGCAGGAAATCCTAAACTATACATAGTAGGATAAGATAACCAAGACATTTTACCAGGAATATTAAGTTAACCCAAATAGGGATATATTTTGCCTGGAAAATTTTAACCAGATTGTCTTTAAGAGTGTATAGCTTCTTGTAAGTTAACGAAAAGTAACTTTAATACAAAGCCAGTAAGGAAAAGCCAGTAACAGCTTGTTTATGAATTTGTAAATGTTTTTAAAGAAACTTTCATATCTACAGTAGATCAATGGTTTCTAACTTGGAAGTTTTGGAATATAAGACATGCAGAAATACACTAAGAAAAATGATATGTTAATTTTTTGAACACACAGACCCTGGGAGTTTCTGCATTTACTGTGCTCTGAAACACTCTGGTTAAGATTTCCTGACATGCTGAAATACACGAAGCAAAGTGATGCTGCAGGTTCAATTTTGATCCAGGTTCAGGGCTAATCCAGCTTTAAACACACAGAAAGAGTTTCTGCATTTATTGCGCTCTAAAACCCCATGACATCCGAATCACAACGAAACCTCTATACACTCTAGAACAGTCATTTCCTTCGGCTAAAGACAGACCGTCAGCCCATCACCCACAGATCAGACTAATTAACGTTGTCTACAAGATTAACTGTGCAGATTGCTCATGGAGCATGTATAGTAATTAAAACCTAACAAATTTTCCATCCATTAACTCAAAATACGATTAAAGCTTTTAAATTTCGTGCGCAAGCCGGTTATAGTTTGTTGCAAATAAGGCACCAAAACATGCATGTCTGCAGACACCCTCCCTCGCCACGGTTTACACAATTTGAGTTCGAGTATTTTTTTTCATTATTCTACATTATGGGTATTCAAGGAATCTATATATAACAAAAACTCAATACCAATTGAGAGCATTTTCAAATTTGTTCAAATTTGTTTTTTTTATACATCCTGTATAGGCGAAGGGAACACTAAAACACTCGTTCGAATGCAGCCCTTGTAATTAACTGTTTATTGTAGCCTCGCCACTACGGTTTCCTGCTATCACTATCTTTTCAAAATTGGAAATTCTTGTTGAATTTTTGATATCTTACAGAGTGAATTAGAGACTGCGTTTTGTTAGCTTAGGCCGCGTTTACACTATAACGCTACGGCTAACATTCCGTTAAAAATTTACTGCGTTTCTAGTGTTGAGACTACAGTATATTGTGTTTACATTATAACAGAGTGGCTTGTCGTAGCGTACTAACTACGGACCACTACATTTCCCACTCTGAATACAAATTAATTTCGTGAAAAATTCACTACGTTTCTTAGTATTGTGCATGTTTACACTATAACAAAGTGGTTTGCCGTACCGTATTAACTACGGACCACTACGTTTGACACTCTGAATACAAATCACTAGGCTACGGTAAATTTGCCTTAGCGTCATAGTGTAAACGCAGCCTTATTTGCAATTCCCTATTTCTCGCACTCCAATCTGCGGTATTACTGTATATAGGTTATCGTATGAAAGGCGGACCGATATCAGTTTTATCGCCCTGATAAAGGCACATGCGTATGTGATAAATTATTTATTTGCATTATGTGCATGCATAGATCAATGAATTAAGGACTTGAAGCAACTCGGAAATTAAACTGCCAAGCAAGCTGCTCCATTTACAACCTCCTACCCCTGGCTAGTCGCGAATTGAAGGCGGCGACGTAGCCCTGGTAAACGCTGGTCACGTGTCAGGCAAATACTCCAAGATTCTTGGAGTATTAGCCTGCGAGCGGGCTTTGTGGAAATAAAGACAGGGGGGCGACGAAAAGTTCACGAATGGAACTTGAATTGCCGCGGATTATTTATATTCTTTTATTTTTTGTTGTAATCTTTCTTCTTAATATGTTACGTTTATATATTACGTCGAATGTACATCAATCTTCTTTTATATCGCATCATGTAAATCGCCGAGGAGGCGATGTTTCGAATTTCGAAGCAGTGAAAATGGAGCCAATCTCGTCCATACTATTTGTGATGATTTCCATCAAGTATAAAAAGGTACAGTATATATGAATTTGAAAATGTTTAGAAGTATTTCTCTGTTACAAATTATTTAGCAGATTCCCATTATTTGTTACACTGTCTAGCTCTATGAAATATATATTTCGAACTCTATTTACTGTAATATATTTTATACAATATGTTAATATAGTTAGCTGAATTTGTACAATTGTAGTTTATTATGTATTGTCAATATTGAGAAACACATGGCCAGACTATGGCCTATATAATACTATACTCGGACCCTCAGTAAAGTTCTACTCTCACATGATTATTATTTACAATATATTGATTTATCGCTGCGAGAAACGTGTTTACACTTTAATACAGTATTATTAAACTACATTTTACAGCAGTATTAACTTCAAATACTTTGTATTTACATTTTACAGTAATGACCTGAAATTATTTAAATGAGCCATTACTGTAATAACAGAGTGACCAGGTTGACAAAGCTAAAATCTGATGAACCTAACCTGCTAGGATATTTCAATAGTCAAACATCAGTTTCAGCACTCCAGCTGGTCAGGGATTTTTTAGGGAAAAGTTTTAGCACCCCATTGTAAAACCTGCCTCTGAATCTCAAAATTTCATTATTTTGTTCCCTTGCCCCTACAATCTATATTTATACCTTTTGTGCCCTTGAGATCTTTAAAAAAATTGCCTAACTCTGCAGTATGGCATGTAACCATGTTGCCATATTTATTTTCTGACTTCAGGCTTCAATAAATTTCTACTCTAATACCCTACAGAGATGGGGCCATATGTATGAACAATAAGAAATGATTTCTTCATCTATTATTGACCCCTTACCTTTCACCCAATTTTAAAATTTAATTTACTGAATGATTTTGAAGTTTTCTAGATTATTGAAAAGAACTTTATGGGTACAAGAAATGGGGCGAAAACAGTTGAATTAAGCAAGATGCAAGTAACAATGAACAAGACCGGGTCACTGGATGGTATTTCAGCACACTGGTGGACATGCAACCTAATACCTGCAACCTGTGTCACATTTATATATATAGTTTTACACTGTACTGGAAAAATAATGTCAAGGAACTTGTAGAGATTCAGAATGCACACTCCATCAGGGTGCGATAATTCAATATTTTTGGCCGTACCTGACTGGTACTCCAACAACTTTTGCCGCGTACCTGATCTGGTACAAACTTAAGAGTCAAGACGTACCTAAGACTACTTCCGAGTCATGCGTTTTTATACCTACGTATAGTTTTAATACTGGTCCAAAAGCAAAAAATGTATGGGCAATTTTGTACAAATAAATCTTTAATTATGGTATTTGTACAACATAATATAACAGTTCTCAAAGCGTCGACGTTGTGACTCGAATCGAATGGCATCGCTCATTTACAGTGGATTTACCGAGGGTGCTAACTGTCTGACCTCAGCTACATACAGTGGTGGCAGGTTGGCTAGTTATTGCTAGAAGGGAAATGTAAGTACGCGAATAGTAAATTTCCGCGTACCTACCTGGTACTTGCCTAAAAACAAAGAAGTACCAGACCATAAATTTGGCGTACCTCCGGTACGTTGGTACGCGAATTATCGCACCCTGCTCCATGGTTTATTCAATCACCAGCATGCATGAATCATTTTATGTTATGGATATTTTTTTAAAATTATTCTCATTTAGATAAAATTATATCAATTTTTAATCTCATAAATGAATATATAGTAGCTTTTGATTAAACAAGTTATAATAATATATCAGCAAATAATGACTGGTCTCTCTGAAATCCATATAGAAAGGTTCAAATTTGACTTCCACTACCACTACTTGATCTGGCAGTTGCATCCGATTGTTTGATTGGATAAATGAAACTTATCTGGTTAGAACTTTAATGATAGCAATAGCAGCAGTGGAAGTAAAATCTGATCTCTCTATTATTTTTTGAAGATTTGCTCTAGTCACATCAATTCAGGGTTGCCCATGCAACTTGGTTAGCACAGCTAGCTCTTCAAGTTGGCGGTCCAATTCTTAGGATTCTGCAAATTAATTCTAGAAAACTGGCTTTGGTTTGGGCTAAGCAAAAATCATCACACTGTTTATCATGCTGATTTAGTTGTTTAACAGTTAAAGTCCAGGCTGCATGTTTTTTGTCCTGCATGTGGCAGATGGGACAGTCTGGTTTCCAAGTGTTTATGTTGGGAATTAATATTAATCAGGACTGGCTTCTGAGTGAAGGTCTTGCCTGCTTTATGTGAGAGCAGGCTCTATGCGAGATTCCAATTGCTACACAGCATGATCTCAGGGCTCTTCCTCTGAAACAATGCTTGGTTGCAATATCATCCAGCAAGTGCAAAAATGTACTACCACGGTCAAGGATCATTTGGCACGTTCATCGACTATGTTAACCCATTGAGTGGCGCCATGCACTCTCCACCTGATGAGTAAAATTGTCTGATGTTAGACAGAGTAAACTAACAAAGTAGGGCGCATCTGGGTGCTTTGGGCCATTCCATTTAATATACACACCACCTATGGACGATGTACACCCCCCCTAAGAAAAAATATCAAAGTGCCGACACCAACACCCCCCCAGAAATTAAGAAATTTTTGCCTTATCCCTCAGAAAAAAAATGCAAAGATCAAAGGTTACGGATGCACACAACCCCTAGAAATGGCTTTTTCAACCCCCTCAGAAATTCTAGTCCATGGGGGGAGGGGGTGTATATTAAATGGATGGCCCATTGCCACTTTATAAAGGGTTAAAAACGTAAATACCACAGCACAACACTTGTACATATACATATACAAGTAATACAACAGCAATCCTTTTATATATTTAATAGTCATATTTACATATTGGTGAAATATCAATGTCCATATATTAGGGATGTCCATGAACTTGTCCCTAGTTTGAAGCTAATGTATTTATATATTTTGTATAAGTTGTCCCTCTACAAACCAACTTTTAGTCATTATACAAGAGTTGAATTTGCATTCATTTGCTTCGCAAGTCGCAACAAACTGAAGAAAGTACTATTCCATAAACCTGTGCAATGATTGAGCGTCTTTAGCGACATATCCAAGTCTTTTAAACGTCTCATTGGAACAAATCTCACTGAGTTTTTTCTACAGAAAGTATTGATGCATTTGATCGATCGCCGTACTTTGAGAAAAGCTTGAAATGCAAAATTTACAGGAAAGATTGAAGAATTTCGGAGATAAAAACTGTTTGTCTTCGAGTTTCACCTATTCACCCCCCGGTTGAGAAAAGTAACAATTACGTAATGTTGGAGTCACGTGACCAGCGTTTACCAGGGCTACGTCGCCGCCTTCAATTCGCGACTAGCCCTGGGTACGAGGTTGCTCCATTTACTGTTCGGAGTACTCTGGATTTTCGGAACACTAATGGAATGGAACAGAAGAGAGTCCATGACTGTTCTGAACTGTTCTGACTACCCCGATTTTCGAGTAGGGAAGCCAGAACAGACACGTGACACTGCCTATTTTCACGTGATTGGAAGTGGAGGCGACATATTTTGTGTATCCAATGCACACTGTATAGAGCGTTATTTTGAAGGGTTAACCGCTATATTTCTACATATACTTATTATATGCTATTTGAAAGCCAGGGTTGGGCAAAATCAACGAGTAAAAACATTGCAAAAGCATACGTAGATGTACAAATACAGTAACAGCGAATCATTATACGCTTTATTATGCGAATAACTAATTAATAATAATAGTAATGCATGGTTGCACGCACATATAATAAACTCAACACTGTTCCAGAACACCGTGTGCACTCCATTTTATATCGTTCCACAACAGTGTTCTAGAACAGTAAATAGAGCAGCCTGAAGGGTATTATTTTTTCGAAATGGACTGACAAACATTTCTTGACATTTCATTCAATATAGCAATAACTCTCATACGAGGTAAGATTGAAGAAGTGACATTACCTGTAGAGAAGGTGGATATCATTATCAGTGAATGGATGGGATATTGTTTGTTTTATGAATCCATGTTGAACAGCGTGCTCTTTGCTCGAGATAAATGGCTGGTAAGTCATTTAAGTGTGAATCAGAGTACGATAATTTATTATTTTGAACGTTGTATACAAAACGTTAAAATCTTTGGTTTGCTGTTGTAAACAGACAACAATGTCTATAACTCCAGAAGGACCTCTAATTATTAATTTCCTTTCTACAGTACACTGTCATAAATTTTATTGTATCAATAGCCGTCGGCGTCGCGGTTGTAGCGAGCTTAAGCATGTAGGACGGCAACGCGGCAGCCAAAACAAATTCCTTCAAATAAATGATAGTAACGAAAATTTGTCGTATATTATAAGTCGTATGAATTTGATACAGTATAAGAAGTTAAAAACGTTGGATTTATGTTTGGGAAGAGTTGTATTAAACCGAATTTTAAGTTGCATTTGTTACGGCTTGAAATGCAGGTGTTGTATAAAAGACGTTGTAAACAAAGCGAAGACTGCCGTTGTAAACAGATCGACGACTACATCTGAAACTCCCCTGGGACTTTAATTATTTATATCTTTTGATTGACTCGTTGTATTGGTTGCCGTCGTCGTCGTGTTGCCGTCCTACATACTTAAGCTCCCTTGTGACGCACGCTGAAAGTAGAGACACTGATTGTTACTAGTGATCCTGGCGGTTTACGAAACGGAAAATTGCATCAGTGTCCTGCAGCTATGTTCAGATTTTGACTTCCACTATCTCTACCCTTACCAGTAACCAATCAGATGCATTTAATCTACCCATTCCATAATATTATTATTGTATAATAATAATAATATAATTATATATATTGTATAATATTATTATTGTATAATAATAATAATAATAATAATAAATCAGTACTACAGTAGTGGTAGTCATATCCAACCCCCTCTACTGTAGCTAAAGGTCCATTACATATATGATTATTGCTGCGTACTTGACCTGGTAGACGTTTAACATAAAATATACCTAAAGTACAGGGGCAGGTTGTATAAAAAAGTGATTAAAGTTAACTATAGTTAGTGGAAACATTATCTAATAAGAAGCGCGTATTTGAGAGTTAATAACTATTTAACTACAAAATAGTGATTAAAAAAGTGATTAAGAG